CTCTCTCTGGTCTCTCTGGTCTCTCTGGTCTCTCTCTGGTCTGGTCTCTCTCTCTCTCTCTCTCTCTGGTCTCTCTGGTCTCTCTCTGGTCTCTCTCTCTGGTCTCTCTCTCTCTCTGGTCTCTCTGGTCTCTCTCTGGTCTCTCTCTGGTCTCTCTCTCTCTGGTCTCTCTCTGGTCTCTCTGGTCTCTCTCTCTCTCTGGTCTCTCTGGTCTCTCTCTGGTCTCTCTGGTCTCTCTCTCTCTCTGGTCTCTCTCTCTCTCTCTGGTCTCTCTGGTCTCTCTCTGGTCTCTCTCTCTCTGGTCTCTCTGGTCTCTCTCTGGTCTCCCTCATCCACTCAGTTTCTACAACATTGAACATAGCTGGGACTCCACATTGTCTTAAACTTGCGTCATGTTTGAGCAGCACATACCAGCAGCACATACCAGCAGCACACACCAGCAGCACATACCAGGAGCACACACCAGAGCACACACCAGGAGCCTGTTGTTGCAGGTTAGCGGACAATGGCCTTCTCTCTCAGACAGAGACAGGGGCGGAGGTCTGTCCTGCTCCTAACTATAGTGCCGATCCGACAGCTTCGTTGTACAGTCTGACAGCTGTGATGTCCCAGTGATGTCATCGTCACTCTTCACTATTGCCACGTTTTAACTCCGCCTTTTTGCTACATTTTCAGACCATTAGAGCAACAAAAATAGGATTATAATTGTGCTTTTTGATTAATTGAGCAGTAAATATGTGTCGCCACAGGACTGAGCTCACTTCCTGTTTCAACCTATTCCTGGTCCAGTCTGTTTGGAAAGCTCTCTCTCTATCTGTCTCTCTCTCTATCTGTCTCTCTCTCTCTCTCTCTGTCTCTCTCTCTCTGTTGCTCTCTCTGTCTCTCTCTCTCTGTCGCTCTCTCTCTCTCTCTGTCTCTCTCTCTCTGTCTCTCTCTCTGTCTCTCTCTCTCCACATACCCACTTTTCCGTATTAAAACCTGCTCATGTTTCCACTGGTTTTTCTCAGTTTCTTTTGGTGGTTTTTCAAAAAGTGGCACCATCAATTTTTCCGTGAGCGAAAACGTTTGTTTTGAGTGGTTTGCGTTAGGCGTTCTGGGGGATGAGTGTAGGAGCCAGAGGAGCTAGGAGGCATGGGAGGAAGCGAGGAGCTAGGAGGCATGGGAGGAGGCGAGGAGCTAGGAGGCATGGGAGGAGGCGAGGAGCTAGGAGGCATGGGAGGAGGCGAGGAGCTAGGAGGCATGGGAGGAGGCGAGGAGATAGGAAGCATGGGAGGGGGCGAGGAGGGAAGCGAGGAGCTAGGAGGCATGGGAGGGGGCGAGGAGCTAGGAGGCATGGGAGGAAGCGAGGAGCTAGGAGGCATGGGAGGAAGAGAGGAGCTAGGAGGCATGGGAGGAAGAGAGGAGCTAGGAGGCATGGGAGGAGACGAGAAGCTAGGAGGCATGAGAGGAAGAGAGGAGCTAGGAGGCATGGGAGGAGGCGAGGAGCTAGGAATCATGGGAGGAGGCGAGGAGCTAGGAGGCATGGGAGGAGGCGAGGAGCTAGGAGGCATGGGAGGAGGCGAGGAGCTAGGAAGCATGGGAGGAGGCGAGGAGCTAGGAGGCATGGGAGGGGGCGAGGAGCTAGGAGGCATGGGAGGAGGCGAGGAGCTAGGAAGCATGGGAGGAGCTAGGAGGCATGGGAGGAGGTGAGGAGCTAGGAAGCATGGGAGGAGGCGAGGAGCTAGGAGGCATGGGAGGAGGTGAGGAGACTACATAACAACCTGTATCTTGGGAGCTACCTGTAGCCTCTTTCAGGTAGCTCCCCAAAGGCTTTATAAGAACATGAGACTGAAGGATTATATGTTCATCACTGTTTCTATTTAAAATACAAACGTAGGTCATACAGTTTTAAAGTGATTATAGTAAATATACATCTGTGTTCTCCATGTGCTGTGGTAGTTATTAAAGAGATGTTTATTACGACGACAAAAGGGAGTAGCTCTCTGCCTCTTCTGTTGTAGCTCTCCGACACAGAACAGAATCCATGATGTCCGAACCCTTTGTTATAGAGCTACTTCCTCAGGACAATAACAGCAGTGAGCCACTAAAGAATCCAGGATAGAATTGTTCCCGCTGAGATCTGTCGTTTAAACTGTGAAGTAAAGTAAAGTAAAGTAAAGTAGTGTAGTCTCCCAGAAGTCCTCACTCCGTCGTCTTCAAACCGAGCTTTGAGACCAAACAAACCTCATGAGCAAAGACAGAGTGAAAACAAATTGGCAGAAATGAGAAGGTTCTGTGCTGTTCGCTGCAGACGGCTGTGAAGCATTTGGAAAGAATTAGACCTTGGAAAAAGTAACATGGGGGGGGGGGCTGTGAAATCATAAAACGCTATAATTGTCCATGGAAGCTGTCTTGTAAAAGCAGAATAGACTTTGAAGCTCCTCTAACCTCTTCTTCTCTTGTTATTGTCCCACTGCGGCTGTTTAGAGTTAAATCAATGTTTGAGTCGTCTTTAGCCTCATTCGCACCGAGGAAGAAAAGCCCAGGTCTCCCCTTCCTCCCACACTGAGCGACCGGGCCTTTAACCCGCCTTGCGAGAAATATTAAATATGACAGTCATGAAACCAAACCGTTTTGTAACACGGTGCGAACATGTGGGTCAGGTGAAGAAGAAAAGCCAACATGGCGAGCTGGTCTTGTCACGGTCTGGGGTTGGACTCATTTGATTGGACAGAAAACAGGAAGTGGCAGCAGAGAAGCTAAATTCTTTTTAAACTTTGTACAGTTTTTATCGACAATAACCAGAAGTGTGTTGTTCTGTGGTCCAGAGCCTTCACACGTGTCCGACTGTAGAGGATCTAGGTTCGGGGGGGGATGAAGTCTAAAAAGCAGCATAAAGTTAGGATTAGAGTAAGGGCTGTTTAAAATAGTGGTCTGCAGCTTTATAACAGGGGTGTCCAAACTTTTGAGTACTTTTTTAGTTCACCAGACTAGACCAGGACCGACATCACAGTCTGGAAAACTGTCTAGACTGACGTCGGGCCGTTCTTGTCTAAGGTTTAGATTTATTTCCCGTTATATTTTGAAATTTGTAAACCCCTGTGTCTTCTTTAGGTGTACTTCCTGTTTCCTGTTTACCAGCCCCGCCCTCACGTGTCTCACCTGTGTCTTCTTTAGTTGTACTTCCTGTTTCCTGTTTAACAGCCCCGCCCACATGTGTCTCACCTGTGTCTTCTTTAGTTGTACTTCCTGTTTCCTGTTTACCAGCCCCGCCCTCACGTGTCTCACCTGTGTCTTGTATTTAAAGGACAACTCACCCTCAAATCCACTTTTTTTTGCTGATAAACGATTTAAATGAGTGTCCAATAGTGTTGTCTACATATCCTGGTCATAGTTTTTTCACTTTGGTGCAAATTAGTTGAAAGTTAAACTTTCTGCCTAAAACCGTCTGTGAGGCGCCATCTGCTGGCGACCTGTATTACTACATTTGAATTTTGAATCTGGCGCCAACACTGGCACAGAAGTTGGACCTGACGTCAGCAGCCCCCCGCCCAGAGCAATGTAAACGGCCCAGTCTCGTTCACGCCCCCTTTAGTCCTCCAGGCTACGCCCATTTAGAGGAAGATTTGAACAGGAAATGTGAGTGACGTAAGCTCCGAGGAGCGGGGGTGAGAACCACTTTAAGGCCTGTGTGTTCCTTCACTTCCTGTTCGGTCAGTGCCGTTCCATGTATGTTTTAGTCCTGTTTGGTTCCTTTTTGTGGTTTTTCCCTTGGACTTTGTTGTCTTTTTATCATTAAATCGTCATTTTTTGCATTCTTGCATTTTGCCTTGATCCCCACATGACAGTTCTGAGCTTTATCATGATCTCTAACGGAGCTTAAGTTGGATGGATGACACTTGTGAACTTGTGTTTATGATCTCTACATTGGGTGAGCAAACTGACCCCTGGGCCTGAGTTTGGACATAGCTGTTTTATAACCTCCTTCACCTGACTCAGAATCAGAATCAATTTATTCCCATTTGCAGAAAAAACATTGGAAAACAAACATGTAAGCAACAGCCAATGAGAGAGTTTAGTTTTTGGTCCAAATGACTGTGAAAACACTGGGTTTGTTTCTCGCTGAGTCTAAGGCCAGAGTCTGGAAGCTCCTCTTGGACCAGGGTCTGTCCTCTTCGGTCTCTGGTCTCTCTCCTCGTGAGTCATGGTGGGACTATTCCAGTGTTCTGTGGTCAGAGCAGGGCTTCCCTCTTCCTCTCCCCCCCCCCCCCCCCCCCCCCCCTCTCTCCCTCCCCACCTCTCCCTGCCCCCCCCCCCCCTCCCCATCTCCCTCCTCTCTCTCCCTCTCTCTCAGTGACTCACCTCTGCACTCGCTTTTTCCAACCCCTCCCAAACATTCACTCATAATGTCACATGTTTGGTTTCAAGACGGCCTCAAACGGACAAGGTTCAGCTGCTATTTCTAAACTCCATTGGTCTGAGCCAATAGGAGGAGGTCTGAGCCAATAGGATGAGGTCTGAGCCAATAGGAGGAGGTCTGAGCCAATAGGAGGAGGTCTGAGCCAATAGGAGGAGGTCTGAGCCAATAGGAGGAGGTCTGAGCCAATAGGAAGGGGTCTGAGCCAATAGGAGGAGATCTGAGCCAATAGGAGGAGGCCTGAGCCAATAGGAGGAGGTCTGAGCCAATAGGAGGAGGTCTGAGCCAATAGGAGGAGGTCTGAGCCAATAGGAGGAGGTATGAGCCAATAGGAGGAGGTCTGAGCCAATAGGAGGAGGTCTGAGCCAATAGGAGGAGGCCTGAGCCAATAGGAGGAGGTCTGAACCAATAAGAGGAGGCCTGAGCCAATAGGAGGAGGTCTGAGCCAATAGGAGGAGGTCTGAGCCAATAGGAGGAGGTCTGAGCCAATAGGAGGAGGCCTGAGCCAATAGGAGGAGGTCTGAGCCAATAGGAGACGGTCTGAGCCAATAGGAGGAGGTCTGAGCCAATAGGAGGAGGTCTGAGCCAATAGGAGAAGGTCTGAGCCAATAGGAGGAGGTCTGAGCCAATAGGAGGAGGTCTGAGCCAATAGGAGAAGGTCTGAGCCAATAGGAGGAGGTCTGAGCCAATAGGAGGAGCTCTGAGCCAATAGGAGGAGCTCTGAGCCAATAGGAGGAGGTCTGAGCCAATAGGAGGAGGTCTGAGCCAATAGGAGGAGGCCTGAGCCGCGAGCAAAGAAACGGAAGACGATAAAAATTAACTTCTAAGAGTGATAATAATTGATTCTTTAATTATACTTTTTGAGTAATTTTGTGGCTAGACTTCCAGTTGAAAGCCCGACCCCGCCAGACCTCTGAAGCTAAGCGGTGGAGGTCCTGGTTAGTCTTGTGATGGGAGACCTCTGTGAACACCAGGTGCCACAGTGGGAGCGACACCTTTTCTTCTACCACTACAGAACTAAATCTACGAACAGCCTCATCCCTCACTCTTTCGCTCATGTCTTGTGTGTCGTTCGTCTGCCCAACAGGTGGCGGCGTAAAACGTAAATCTCTTTTTAATCCTGAGTTATACGAGTTTTCTATTTTCGCTCCAGTGATTTGAAAGTGTGGAGGTGAAGAGGAGAGGACCACCCACACACCGAGGCTCATGTGTCTAATGTCTCCCTCGTGTAAAGCTCCTTATATGGTCGTCGTTGGGATCAGAGAAGAATCTAGTTTACAGAACGACCAGGACACAGTCTGTGGCACGATGTGGATGCAGGGTTTGGATTCCATCATTCTGGCCCTAAACCTGATCTTGGGAATCTTTATTTTGGTATTTAATGAGTTAGAATGTGAAGTAATGTACAGATAAACGTTTATAATGGATGCAAGACAGTGTAAGCGTCAGTAAAACAGCTACATCTAGTGGTAGAAGGAGGGAACTGCAACACAAACCCTGGAGCGATACTGGTGTGTGAGAGAGACTCGGCCTTCAACCCGTCTTGCGACCTATTGTTTTGGTTCAGTGTGAAGAGGAAGAGGAGCCTCAGTCCTGTAGATCCAGGGCTGAGGCTGTAGACCCAGGGCTGAGGCTGTAGATCCAGGACTGAGGCTGTAGACCCCTGAGGCTGTAGACCCAGGACTGAGGCTGTAGACCCAGGGCTGAGGCTGTAGATCCAGGGCTGAGGCTGTAGACCCAGGACTGAGGCTGTAGACCCAGGGCTGAGGCTGTAGATCCAAGACTGAGGCTGTAGACCCAGGACGGAGGCTGTAGATCCAGGACTGAAGCTGTAGACCCAGGACTTAGGCTGTAGACCCAGGACTGAGGCTGTAGACCCAGGACTGAGGCTGTAGATCCAGGACTGAAGCTGTAGACCCAGGACTTAGGCTGTAGACCCAGGACTGAGGCTGTAGACCCAGGACTGAGGCTGTAGATCCAGTACTTAGGCTGTAGACCCAGGACTGACTGTGTAGACCCAGGACTGAGGCTGTAGATCCAGGACTGAGGCTGTAGACCCAGGACTGAGGCTGTAGACCCAGGACTGAGGCTGTAGACCCAGGACTGAGGCTGTAGACCCAGGACTGAGGCCGTAGACCCAGGACTGAGGCCGTAGACCCAGGACTGAGGCCGTAGACCCAGGACTCAGACTGTATAACTGAGAGACACATAAAACATTTTTTCCCAGCGTTGCTAAATCAGAAACCTCTCTTCCTCCTTTTACTCCAGTCTGAATAATTGCCGTGTTTTTTCCCTGGATGTAAAACTCAGATTAGCTCTTTATAGTATCAGACGGACTATGTGGGAGCAGGAGGTCGATGACAGCCGCGGAGCCAGAGGAGAACCACGCCTCGAACTCCCCACTCCCAACCCTCCAGGAATGTCCAAACACAGGCCTGCAGCAGCGGGACATGGATCACAGCCCTGGGAACGAGCCAGAGCTAAAGCTGGACTCAAACAGGACCAAAACGACCCTAAAGCTGGGAAAGAAACCAGACAAATGGAAGTGTGTCGTGGGTGTGTTGTGGTTGATACATGCTTTTGGCTCTGAGCTGAAAGGGGTGATGACGAGGAGAGAGTGTGCTGCTGTGGAGGTGGTGATGGGGAGGAGGGAGGTGACTGCACGAGCTGAAAGCTGAGAGAAGAGAGTGAAGCAAGGCAGCGATAAAGCCGGGAGGTCCTTGCTCTCGAAACAGCCTCTATCACTAGTGTTGTGTCTCTGTTACAGCTTTAGATTAGATTTTAGACAGAAAAGTGAAACAGAGCGGACACACCTTCTTCGCTCTCGGCCCAAACAGTCAAATAGTGACTGGCAGGGCTGGTCTGGTTGCTTCACAGCTGTGTAGAAGTGTGACCTTCATTCAACCTGGAAATGTCATTCTGATCATCTCTTCTATTTGCTCAGAGTGGAGACTTTTTTGTGTTTTAGTGCCGTGGGAATGAGCCGAGAGATTGAGAATCTCGATGGGTTTAGAGCGAGAAACAGGTTGTAAACATTGAACTACACTTTCGTCCGGCCTCAGAGCAGAGAGAGAGGACACAGGACAGAGGTGGGACCAGGAATGTCTAAACAAAGTTGGAGGAAGTAGCTCATGTGTAATGTTGTAAAGTGCGCCCCATGTTGTAAAGGATGTAAGTTTACAGGGCGTAAAGCGGGACGGATCACCGAAACGTTTGAGTTCACTTTTGTGAACGATAAGGTTCACCTGCTCATTTGCATGTGTTCCACACAGGGTTAAAGTTCACGGTGACTGAGGTCGACTTTACATCAAGGTTCCAACGTTCCAGGTTAAGGATGTAGATGAACTCACGGGTTAGCGTTATACTTACATGCAGGTCTCAGACCCTCAGGTTAGCGTTACGGTTACTGGGGTAAGACAGTGACTCAGTTTTCAAAGATTAACTGTTTCCAGCTGTAAGAATGACACTACGGATATCATAGTTACAGGTTCGAGCGCTCGCTGTCCTCCTGTTCCACAGTTCCGGTTCATGCGGTCGCAGTACCTCCGGTTCCCGTACCGGTTCAAAGCGGTAGCTGGTACCAACACGGTTAACGTATAGGTTAATGGGGTCGATGTTACTACCGGTTAAGTTACGGTATACATTGCGGAAGCTGTACTCAAGGTTCCAACGTTACGGTTACATCCAGGATCGCTAGACACTCCCGGTACCCTATCCAGGATCACAGCGGACCGATGGACCTATACCTTAACCCGTTCATGTGCTGCGATTACGCAGACCACCTTTACAACAGTCCCGGTTCACTGCATGACTATGATCCACAGGTATGCGTATCCTGTTAACGGAGGTAGCACTGACATAAGGTTAACGTTCACAGTTCACCTGCGGTCGCAGTACTACAGGTTCCCGTTACGGTTAATGAGGTCGGCATGTCAAACGGTTAACGCGTTACGCACTTAATGCGGTTGCATGTACACCGGTTCACGTAAGGTATTTTCATGAGTTACGCTGTCCTCATGCTTCCAAGTTCCCTTCGTGCAGGTCGAAGTCACTACTGGTTCATCAGTTACTGGTTTTTTAACCTTGGCTGCCGATGTAATAACGGTTCACCGTTACGGTTCGAGCGGTTCGACTGATCACAATCAAGGTAACAGTTCAGGTTCGTGCTTTGACTGATCCTCGGTTCCATAATTCACAGTTTCCTGCGGTTCGATGTCATACCTGGTTACCTTATCCTGTCACCAGCGGACGAATGTCACTACAGGTTCCCGTTACGGTTTAGTGAGGTCGATGACCTACACCCCGTCTACCACGTATAAGGTTACTGGGTAGATCGTACTAAGGTTTCAACCTTTCCCGGTTCCTGAGGTCGCTGTAATCAGAGTTAACGTTCAGGTTAACTGCTGTCGATGGTAATAAGGTCTCAAGTTTACAGGTTCAAGAGGTCGCCTGTCACTAGGTTCTCCGTCAGGGTTCACATGGGGTAGACAGTCCTAAGCGTTACAACGTACAGGTTCATGAGGATCGATGTAAAACCGTTCTCCACGTGCACATGTTCCTGCGGAAGACAGTCCCTCCTTACCAGTATTATACGTTAACAAGCGTTCGCCGATCCTACACTTTCCCGTCACGTTTGCACTTGACGATAGACTGTCATACCTGGATTCCAGTTTACGGATAAAGCGGTCGATGACATCAAGTTTCCAACGTTCCGGTATAACTGAGGGTCGATGGGGGTACTCCCAGGTTCCCGATCCGGTTCCTGAGCGGTCGCACTAGACCTCCGGATAACGATACAGCGTCAATGCAGGTAGATGTAATAAGGTATAGAGTCTACGATTCAATGAGGGTCAGACTTGTAATAACTGGGTCAACTGGTTATCGTTTCATGCGGTAGATGTAATAAGGTTCAAGTTAAGGGTTCGTGAGAGTAGCTGTTCAATAAGTTAAAAGAGTTAACGGTTGAATGAGGTCGCCAGACATAAGGTTCAAGTTTAAGGTTTCAATGCGGTAGATGTACTCCGGTTCAGTTAATGGTTCCAGCTCGTAATCAGCCTTTCGCTTTCAGGTAACTTAACGTTCTCTGATGACCCGGTTACCCGTTACCTTGACGTACGCTGTCCATCCGGTTCGAGTTTACCGGCTCCATCTGTCGCTGACCTCAGTTAATACCCGAACCTCAGAACTACCAACACTTAACTCCCGAAACTATTTTAACACCTTCATTACTATGTCCTCCGGGTTCCCGAAACCTTTAACATTCTTAACTCAGACCCACCTTAACTCTAACCTTAACCATTCTTACTCAGACCACCTTAACCCTAACCCTAACCCTAACCCTAACCCTAACCCTAACCCTAACCTTAACCATCTTACTCAGACCACCTTAACCCTAACCTTAACCATCTTACTCAGACCACCTTAACTCTAACCTTAACCATCTTACTCAGACTACCTTAACCCTAACCTTAACCATCTTACTCAGACCACCTTAACCCTAACCTTAACCATCTTACTCAGACCACCTTAACCCTAACCTTAACTATCTTACTCAGACCACCTTAACCCTAACCTTAACCATCTTACTCAGACCACCTTAACCCTAACCTTAACCATCTTACTCAGACCACCTTAACCCTAACCTTAACCATCTTACTCAGACCCACCTTAACCCTAACCTTAACCATCTTACTCAGACCCACCCAACAACGGTCATGAAAAATACTCCTAATATACGTGTTGTGTGTGTGTTTGTATGTATGTGTGTGTTGTTGTTGTTGTGTGTTGTTGTGTGTCTGCAGTGTGACAGAGGTGGACACAGAGACGGCGTTCTTCATAGTTTTCCTGCTGTTATTGCTTTAACCATTCATGGAAACACAATAGTATCTTTGTGCGGCTGGACATGAGCTGTGGGAGTGAGCGCAGATGGAGGCCGCGGCGCCTCCTAGTGGTGGCTTTATGCACTGGGGACAGGACTGTGGAGTCACGCGGCTGGGAATGAGAAGAAGGAGATGGAAGAAAAGATCGCTCCTGATCCTGTCCTAGTTCACTGCAGCTGGTTTCAACTGGTTTGGCTTTAATAAATAAAATGTCTCTCCCCTCCTCTCCCCCCTCTCTCCCCTCCCCTCTCTCCTTTCTATCTCCCCTCTCTCTCCCCTCCCCCCTCTCTCCCCCTCTTTCCTCTCTCTCTCTCCCCTCTCTCCTTTCTATCTCCCCTCTCTCTTTCCTCTCTCTCTCTCTCTCCTCTCCCTCTCTCTCCTCTCTCACCCCTCACTCCTCTCTCCTCTCCTCCCTCTCTCCTCTCCTCTCTCACCCCTCTCTCCTCGCTCTCCTCTCTCCTCTCTCTCTCTCTCCCCTACCCTCTCTCTCTCTCCTTTCTATCTCCCCTCTCTCCTCGCTCTCTCTCCCCTCCCATCTCTCTCCTCTCTCTCCCCTCCCCTCTCCCTCTCTCTCCTCTCTCTCCCCTCCCCTCTCTCTCTCCTCTCTCCTTTCTATCTCCCCTCTCTCACCCCTCTCTCTCCTCTCTCTCCCCTCCCCTCTCCCTCTCTCCCCTCTCTCCTCTCTGTCTTGCAGCCTCTTCAGCCTGACACCTCCTTCCTCTGCACCATGCCGATCGTCCTCCAGTCCTCCCCTCTGTTCTGGACCCGCCTCGCCGCCATGGCCTTCTCCTGCGTGGCGTTCTCGGTGGCGGTCCACGGCGGGCGCCTGTTCCACGGCACGGGCGACTGGTGCATCTTCTGCTGGGCCTTCAGCTTCGCCGGGACCCTCCTGGTGCTGCTGGTGGAGCTGTTCGGCCTCCAGACCCGCTCCCCCGTCTCCTGGAAGAACTTCCCGATTACCTTCGCCTGCTACGCCTCTCTGCTGTGCCTCTCCGCCTCCATCATCTTCCCGCTCTACTACCTCAAAGGCAACATGGGCCCCAGCGAGATCCGAGACTTCCGCATCGTCTCCACCGTCTTCTCCTGCCTCGCCACCATCGCCTACATGAGCGAGGTCAGTCTCAGCAAGGCGCGTCCGGGAGAAGTGGCCGGGTACATGGCGACCGCGCCCGGCCTCCTGAAAGTCTGCGAGACCTTCATCGCTTGCATCATCTTCGTCTTCATCAGCGACCCCGTCCTGTACGACCGCCATGACGCCCTGAAGTACTGCATGTCGGTCTACTGCATCTGCTTCATCCTCTCGGCGGGGGTCATCGTCCTGTGCGTCTGCGAGTGCACCGGCTGCCTCCCGTTCCCCTTCGCACGCTTCCTGTCGGCGTACGCCTCGCTCGCCGTGCTCCTCTACCTCTCCGTGACCATCGTGTGGCCCATCTTCAACTTCGACCCCAAACACGGCGGGCAGAAGGACCGGCCCAGCTCCTGCAGCATCACCCACGGCCTCTGCGTCTGGGACAAGACGATCGCGGTCGCTGTGCTCACCGCCTTAAACTGCATCCTGTATCTGGTCGACCTCATCTACTCCACGCGCCTGGTGTTCGTCAACTCCTAAAGCTAATGCTAAAGCTAATGCTAAAGCTAATGCTAAAGCTAATGCTAAAGCTAATGCTAAAGCTAATGCTAAAGCCAGAGCTAAAGCTAAAGCTGCCTGTATGCTTTAGATGGGGCGTTCATATGAAAGCTGAGATTAAAGAGAAAAACTAAAAGCCGTCAAATTGACTGCTCTGAAAGTTCCAGAGTTAAATCAGGGGAATGACAATAATCGTAGAATTGTCTAATGCTCTACCTTTTCATTTAAAAAAGATTTCTCTCCCTCTCTCTCTGTCTCTCTCTCTTTGTCTCTCTCTCACTCTCTGTCTCTCTCTCTCTGTCTCTCTCTCTCTGTCTCTCTCTCTCTGTCTCTCTCTCTCTGTCTCTCTCTGTCTCTCTCTCTCTCTCTCTCTCTCCTTCTGGCTCTCTCTCTCTGTCTCTCTCTCTCTCTCTCCCTCTGTCTCTCTCTCTCTCTGTCTCTCACTCACTCTCTCTCTCTCTCTCTCTGTCTCTCTCTCTCTTTCTCTCTCCTTCTGGCTCTCTCTCTCTCTGTCTCTCACTCTCTGTCTCTCTCTCTCTCTGTCTCTCTCTCTCTCTCCCTCTGTCTCTCACTCTCTGTCTCTCTCTCTCTCTGTCTCTCTCTCTCTCTCCCTCTGTCTCTCTCTCTGTGTGTAGTGTCTCTCTCTCTCTCTCTCTCTCTCTCTCTCCATTACCGGTGTGTTTTGACATTTCCTGGGTAAATTAAGACAGAAATGATCCTTAATCTAATTGGGCAGAGACGGTAAAAGGCGGTCATTGGAAGTTTACAGGCAGCTCTTGCGGTTTAAAAACGCTTTAAAATCCTGTCGTCATGGCGATTCCGACAGAGGATAGTCGCTATAGTGTTGTGGGCGTGGTCGCCAAAAAAAGGCAAAAGCAAAATATCAAAATGGCGGCTTCCTGAAAATGCGTTTTTTTTTCTATTTGTTGTATTTTCTTGTACATTTTTTGCCTCAATCGCTTTGAAAACTTGAAGAATTTTACCGTTTTGAAAGTTCGTGCTTTTTGTCGTGTCGCTAAGTATCGCCGTAAACAGTGGTTAAATGTATAAAATGTACCAAAAGCCAAATATATTTTCTATTACCGATGTTTTTTTCTTCCTAGTTGCGATGTTCTATCAAAAAACCACGCCCAGTGATTGTCAAGACTTCGTTGATCTAAAGTTACGCTGAGTAACCTTTCTGGCGAGAGATTTTTGACTGCGTTTCTCTTTCAATCAATTCTTTTAAAACATTTTTAGCGTTTACTCCAAAAAATACAGTTTATTTTGAAATATAAACCAACCCAGGCATTGACTTGACTGAATTATGCATGTTTTTTATTGCGGAAAAATCTAAAATCTAAAAGTGTGTCTCTCTCTTTGTTGACATAAGTTGCACCAGAAATGTTACATACCACAACTTTGAAGCTACTTTAAAGCTGGGGTACCTAACTTTAAAACACCCGACTCTGACCCACGTCACTAGACCCTGGCTCTGGCTCCGTTTTGTTCCATCATCACAGTGTTTTGGTTGACTTTAGTCTGTAAAATGTGCGATATAAATAAATTACTTACGTTTAATCTCTAGTCTTATTTATGGTAAAAGTCAGGTCCCCCAGCTTTAACTTTCACTGCTTTCGTCCGACACATTTCCACTCGTTTCCCTTTTTGCGAATCACAATCAATGTATGTGCGCAATGTTTGTAAAGTCGTCCGTGTTCAAATAAAACTTATGCTATACTAAGTTTTTGTGTGTTTCCTTTCAAGTGTAGAGTTTGCATGTTGTCCCTGTGCCTGGTCTCCTCATTAAGAAACAATCATAGGTCATTTTGCATCAGAATGGGTCAACAGGGAGACTTCTGTTTCTTTGTGGCGGCCATTTTGAATGTCAAAGAGAGCAAACATTTGATAGAAAATAATACTGACATCACTTTGGAAGCCAAGGCTCTGTAGATTTGGCCTGATGAGTCATTTATTCAAATTATAAGTGGGAACAATCTACACAGACAGAGACGTGGCTCCACAGTGTCACGTGTCGTGTATAATAATAATAAAGAAGCTAATATAAAATCTCTCTCTGTCTATCTCTCTCGGTTTCTCTCTCTGTCTGAATGTATAAATAATCACACAGACATGTCTCGGTGGAGAACAGGGCGAAGCGGTGTTTGGGTGAAATGTAAACAATGTGTAGAACATTCACCAGAGAAAGACCACCCACTCAGAGCCGGCCTCACTGATGGGACCAGACCCTGGGACCAGGTCTGTACCATCAGCCCCTCCCTCCACCATTCACACCAGACTCATTCTAATGTGGGGGAAGTGTCTTGCCTAAGGACACAACCAAAGTTTGGCACTTTACAGCCGCCCCACTGTGGCACCTGCTGTTCCCAGAGGTCTCCCATCACAGTACAAACCAGGCCCTTCCCTGCTTAGCAGCAGAGGTCTGACAGGATATGTCTTCACCTGCAGGTGACACGTGTGAGTTTAAATCCTGTTGTAGTGAAAAGTGGAAATAGTGAAAATTTGAAGTTGTAAAAATTATTAAGCATTTTTTGTGGAAATGTGTTTAAAGATTCCCCCCATGTCCCGGAGCAGAGGGGGGGGGGGCAGTCATTCCAACAGCCGCAGCAGCCGCAGCAGCAGGTGGTGGGAGTCGTTCCCAGAATAAACTGCAGAATAATTTCCTCTTTCTTCTTGGATCAGAACCATCTTTGTGGTGATGGACCTGATGGAGTCTCTGTCCTCACTCCGGGTCTGGACCGAACCTGGGACTGTCCATCATCCAGGGCCGTGGGACCGGGATCTGGCGCCCTCTGCTGATCAATTTAAGTAGCGTTACTTGCAGGTGAAAGCTAGAATCTGTCAGAGCTCTGAAGCTAAGTGGACAGGGACTGGTCACTACTGCGATGGGAGACCTCTGGGAACAGCAGGTGCCAAACTGTGGTTGTGTCCTTAGGCAAGACACTTCCCCCACATTAGAATGAGTCTGGTGTGTGTGTGAATGGTTGGTGGTGGTGGGAGGGGCCTTGCTTCTGTCAGTGTGCCCCAGGGCAGCTGTGGCTACAGTAGTTTATCACCACAGTGTTTGGAGTGAGAATAATGTGAAGAGACTTTGAGCGTCTTTAAAACCTATACAATATTGTTATTATTATTATTATTAAAGCTGGGGTACCTAAAAGTGGTTCACAGCCAGGTCCTAAGTTTCAGTCCACCTTCAGACCTTTCTGAGGGGAGTTCTCTGTGCATCTGTTAGGTTTCCTCCAGGTGCTCCGGTTTCCCCTTCCACTAAAAACTATCACTATATTGGGCGGCACGGTGGCTGAGTGGATAGCACTCTCGCCTCTCAGCAAGAAGGTCCTGGGTTCGAATCCCGGCCAGACCAGGGCCTTTCTGAGTGGAGTTTGCATGTTCTCCCCGTGTCTGCGTAGGTTTCCTCCGGGTACTCCGGTTTCCCCTACCACTAAAAATATGTACAATAGTTCTGGCATGCGCCTCCTGTTCGGCGACCCCGCTCCCATCTCTGTGTGGAGAGACAAATGCCCAAAAAAAATAACAATTGTAAACCGCTTTGTGACTCTGGTCTGTGAAAGGCGGTATATAAATAAAGCTTACTTACTTACTTACTTATCAGTGTGTGGACAAACCGCCCGTGACCCAGGACCGTTTCGGGTCCTTGATCTCCCCCGCGGTCACCTCCCCATTGACGTGGTGGAGCAGCGGCTTTAGTCCGAGCTCTCAGTACTGATCTTTTGAATGGTCGACTTCTAATGTGACTCACAAACAAGAAGCATTAAAGTTAAAGTGGATCTGATCAGAGACAGACACCTCTCCTGAACTTTTTTCTTTCTGTTCCTGTTTTCTTTGAGCTGCAGAAACTTTTAAAACATTTATGAGCTTCTCCTCCAGGACTCTGCTGTAAACTGTAAAAACCTCTCACATCTCCAACTTTCAGGGGTTTTGGAGTTATTTACTCGTGTGATCTCGACCCTTTCTCTAGTTTGAAGACTTTATCGCATTCATACATCAACACGTTTTCTATCGATGTATTTGTAGATTTGTGGATTTGCAAAACAAACAAAAGGAAATGGAGAGAAAAGTCCTGAAATCCAAATATCTTTATTAAAAACTGAACTGATGAGAAACTTTTGAAAGATGTAGGAGCAGTAATAACAAAAATAATTAGTTTATAGTTATTATTAACCCCTAGTTTTGTTATTTTAAGTCTCTAGCAAATGATTGAGATGGTGTTGATGGTAAAACGGCCGGACACCTGACTTTCTCCAACAGGGATCTGTGAAACCTACGGGACATATTAGAGCAGCCATTCCCAAACTCAGTAACACCGAGGCCCCCTTAAAAATATGACGGGTCTGCGTGGCCCCCCAAAATAATAACCAAGAAGACAACATTAAGAATAGGCTCTTCTGGTTATTTTATTTTGGGGAAATAGCCTCTGCTACAAACATTGTAATACAAAAATGATTACAGTGGATTATTAAAGTCAAATAATGAACACAAATATTTTAATATTACAAACAAAACATTATAAATTTAACATAAAATAATTACATTATTATTATTATTTTTTTTTAATGACCTCCCGCGGCCCCCCTGCAGTACCCTCGCGGCCCACCAGGGGGCCGCGGACCCCACTTTGGGAGACACTGCATTAGAGGGTACAGGGGAGGGGGGAGTGGTTTGGTGGAGAGGGAGGGGGGGGGGGAGTGGTTTGGTGGAGAGGGAGGGGAGGGGGGAGTGGTTTGGTGGAGAGGCCTCGGAACAGGGCCTTTTTGAGTGGAGTTTGCACGTTCTCCCCGTGTCTGCGTAGGTTTCCTCCGGGTGCTCCGGTTTCCCCTACCACTAAAACCATGTTTAGTGGTTTAGTTCAAGGTGAATGAGAGTGTGTTTGTGAGTGCGACTGTGGGACACGGATGGAAATTAGCCCAACGCTACAATCAGGAGTCATGTGTTCTTTAACATGTACTGTCCCAACCAAATACACAGTAAATAAAAAACATGTCTCGGTGCAGACAGATCTTGGTGAGGTCAGGTCTCGGTACAGACAGATATCGGTGAGGTCAGGTCTCGGTCCAGACAGGTCTTGGTGCAAACAGGTCTCAGACAGGTCTGGGTGCAGTCTGGTCTGGGTTCCAAAGTCTCTGGGCCTGAGCACGTCCTTATTAGGGCAGGTCTGTGGCTGTAAACCCGTCCACGCTTCACTCTGGAGCTTTCAAATCCTCGTCCATCACAACAACAGACGCTTTCAGAGTCTTAAAGTGACACAGAAGACTTATCGGGCTCCTCCAGTGGCCCCGGACTCTGGGAGGAGTCTGCAGGGGTCTGGAGACTCCATGTTTTAGGAGGTCTTAAAGGTCCTAGTACGAATACAGCACCAACTCACTGAGAAATATGTCAAAAATGACTCCAATTTGGCAAAAAATGTATCTTAATTTGAGGATATTCTGACTGACTGGTCTCTCTCTGGTTTATTTCTCTCTCTGGTTTTAAAAAATGAAGTCCTCTCACATTAGTCCCGGTCTCAGGTCTCTGTCCTGAAGTCCTCTCACATTAGTCCTGGTCTCAGGTCTCTGTCCTGAAGTCCTCTCACATTAGTCCTGGTCTCAGGTCTCTGTCCTGAAGTCCTCTCACATTAGTCCTGGTCTCAGGTCTCTGTCCTGAAGTCCTCCCACATTAGTCCTGGTCTCAGGTCTCTGTCCTGAAGTCCTCCCACATTAGTCCCGGTCTCAGGTCTCTGTCCTGAAGTCCTCTCACATTAGTCCCGGTCTCAGGTCTATGTCCTGAAGTCCTCCCACATTAGTCCCGGTCTCAGGTCTATGTCCTGAAGTCCTCTCACATTAGTCCCGGTCTCAGGTCTATGTCCTGAAGTCCTCCCACATTAGTCCCGGTCTCAGGTCTATGTCCTGAAGTCCTCCCACATTAGTCCCGGTCTCAGGTCTCTGTCCTGAAGTCCTCCCACATTAGTCCCGGTCTCAGGTCTCTGTCCTGAAGTCCTCCCACATTAGTCCCGGTCTCAGGTCTCTGTCCTGAAGTCCTCCCACATTAGTCCCGGTCTCAGGTCTCTGTCCTGAAGACCTCTCACATTAGTCCTGGTCTCAGGTCTCTGCACTGGGACTGGCCCCTGTTGGTCCCAGAGATAGGACTACATTTGTGTTTGTGGTTAAAACCTGGAGCAGTCTTCCTGAAAATGTGAGCCAGACTTCTCCTCTGACAATGTTCAGATCCAGGTTTAGCTGCAAAACTGAAATAGTCATAATGTAAAATAAGACAAGAGCAAATAGTTTAATACATAATTTATCTTCCAAATGTGTTGAAAATATTTAAAAAACAAAGTGGTTTTTACACAAGTTTTTACAACAGTTCATTTGGAGAGAGTTAGTTTTCCATCTGAGACGAGAACGAGCGCAGGTCGTCTCCGATCAGCTCCGTCACTGAAGAACAAACACAACTTTATATTTTATACAAGTCTCAAATCTGTGACGTCTGTGAGAAAAATATAATAATACATTAATAATAGACACATTTTATTTAGCGCTTTTCTGGACTCTCAAAGACGCTTCATGTGTCTTTTTTAAAGGGCCCTAATCTGTCATCATTAAAGGGCATTAATCTGTCATAATTAAAGGGCCCTAATCTGTCATCATTAAAGGGCCCTAATCTGTCATCATTAAAGGGCCCTAATCTGTCATCATTAAATGGCCCTAATCTTTCATCATTAAAGGGCCCTAATCTGTCATCATTAAAGGTCCTAATCTGTCATAATTAAAGGACCCTAATCTGTCATAATTCAAGGGCCCTAATCTGTCATCATTAAAGGGCCCTAATCTGTCATCATTAAAGGGCCAAAATCTGTCATAATTAAAGGGCCCTAATATGTTATCATTAAAGGGCCCTAATCTGTCATCATTAAAGGGCCCTAATCTGTCATAATTAAAGAGCCCTATCTGTCATCATTAAAGGGCCCTAATCTGTCATCATTAAAGGGCCCTATTCTGTCATCATTAAAGGGCCCTAATCTGTCATCCTTAAAGGGCCCTAATCTGTCATAATAATAATCTGCTCTTTTCCAATACTTCTTTAACTGATAACAGTCGTTCAGAGATATTTGAATTTCTAAATAACTTTTCCAGCCTCTAAATCTTGTTATTGTTTTCATTTCGATGTCCCGCCCTCCACCGTTTCACCAATCAGAAAGTCTGTGATCCGGGCGCCAGAACTCACCGTGTGGAGCTAATCTCACTGGTAAAGTACCATGTGGCGCAGAACTAAAAAAGGTCTCGTTATGATTCTCAAATCATTAACGACAAAACAAGGAATAAAACCAGGATTTCTATCTTTGTGAAAAAGGTTTGGTTATAGATTTGTTGTTGACAAAACTCTTGTCTATTCAGCTGTTATGGTCCCAGCTGGATTCGTCTGCATATCTGGCAACCTGAGTCAGGGACAGTGGGAGAGGCTGCAGTACCACTTTTGGACACATGTTTACAAACTGCTCCTTTAACAATTTTACTTTAATTTGACTAAATTAGAGGGAAGGGGGGTTTAGCTGGGGTTCAAAATAAAAATGACGGAAAATGTGTTTGTTTGTTTAAGTTACTCACATGTTTAGAATATGAAGGGCAAAAAAAGTACGTACTGTTACAAATCTTAGGGTCGACGTTTTGAGTTTCTAGTTTTTCATCTATCTAAGTCTGAGGGCTTAGTTAAAGTTACGAGGTGCATTTGAAAGCATCACAAAGCTCCACCTCCACCATCACAAAGGGATGAAGCGTCTCACATGTAGACCGGGTCCAGAGGGGTCAGACCGGTCCAGGCCTCACTCTGTGGTTCTGATTCTTACGGACACCAAACTCACCTTCCTCAAAGGTGATGTGCTGCATGGAGCTGCTGAACTCCAGGGGCCCCTCCAGGACCTTCCCCTCTCGGCCTCCCCCCTGCCTCCCCTGCGTCTCCCACCCGTCGTACTGCAGCGCTGGGTACTGCACCGGGCACAGGTCCTGGTACTGGCCCGTCGACCCTGACAGCAGCGGAGGGGGGGAGGGGCAGGCGTCGTGGGGGTACGCCGACTGGAAGTGAGAGTAGGGGGAGCAGGGCAGGTGCGGCAGAGGCGACGTGGAGATGGGGCTGCCAGCCGGGAAGGGGCTGAGGGAGGAGGAGTGCGACGGGGAGGGGGAGGAGGATAAATAGGGGGAGTCCAGCCACGGGGAGGGGGAGGGAGGCTGCGGACCCCCAGGGCACAGGGGGGGCAGCAGCTCAGTGAAGCCCAGCTCAAGGTTCTCGAAGCTGGGGTGACGTTCAGACAAGGCGGCCCTAGAAGAAGAAGCAAGAAAACTCAGTGACGAACAAACATATACTACATACACAATGAGCAAAGAACCACTACTACATTAGCCTTAGCGCACCACGGTACTCATTTCATTTGGTACGAAAGTCTGGATCTGCTCCATTGACTACGTTAACAGGTGGGAGGGGTTAACTAAGATTGAAACGATTGCATCTGAGTTTACATCAGGCATTTAGCGTTTAGCCTAGCTTTAGCATGTAGCCTAGCATTAGCCATCTCCTTTGCCACTAACGGAGCCCGTGGGGAGTAGAGCCACAGCATCTTTGCCTCAATGACATTTACTAAACATTCCTCTTGCTCCGGCTTCAGTTTCTTGATATTTGGATTGAACCAGAACAGATTATTTACTATCGCATTCTCCGACAAACTACAACCAGCAATTTCGGTGAAAAACACAGAACTATAGTTGTGCTTTCATGGCAGCGCGAGGGTGCAGCCGTTAGCGAGAAGGTCGTTCGATTCACCAACACAGATCAGAGAAACAGTCTGTATGTGTGTTCCATGTTAATAAGTAAATACTGTAAATACTGATTATAAACTTGACATAAAAAAACACCTCCGCACCTCTGGGCCCTGGAGTCGTCCGTGAGGGCCTCGTGGTTGGGGTGGTCCTCGGGGTACAGGGCGGAGGGGCAGGGCTGGGAGAAGGGGTAGAAGTGGAAGCCCAGGGAGCGGTCTTCATGTGCGGGGAGCTGGGCCTGAGCCGGGTGTAAGGCGTCCACAGGCAGAGTGGCCACACGGGGCAGCAGAGAGTCCGACTCTTTGAACAGGACTGAGGACCACAGCAAACACATGGTTTATTCCACACCAGGGCGGTCCAACCATCAGACTCACCTGGTATCAAAGGTTAGAGTCCAACCAGAGACGCCCCAGTCCTGCTGATCCAAGATGGCGGCCTACTCAAATCACTGGCTTGTGCTCAGAATGTGCATGTGTCACTATGGAGACCGAACGATTAGGGGAACTCGCCCATATTTGGTCATTTCTCTGGTCGTCCCAGTTCTGCGCAGTGGACGAGCTCCCATGATGCTTTGCGCCAAATATGTGTGTGTGGCTCTCATGCATGTGCACAGAGGGGTTCTGCCGCACTTTGACCAATCAGAGGGCAGCGTTCTGACCAATCAGAGGGCAGCGTTCTGACCAATCAGAGCTGCTGATCAGAGCAGGAGTCAGAGCGGGAAGGAAAGGAGCAGAGTTTGTGGCAGTAAAGTGTGGATTTAAAGAAAACTGAAGGTTGAGCTGTTTTAGTTTACATTGAGTTCTATGGGGAACGTTTCTGGGTAGCCCACGTGAATTTAGTCTGGTTTAGTCTAATTGAATCCTGGGGCATTACCCGGCCAGCGGAGACTCACTGGGCAGGTACTCACTGGGCGGGTACTCACTGGGCGGGTACTCACTGGGCGGGTACTCACTGGGCGGGTACTCACTGGGCGGGTACTCACTGGGCGGGTACTCACTGGGCGGGTACTCACTGGGCGGGTACTCACTGGGCGGGTACTCACTGGGCAGTACTCACTGGGCGGGTACTCACTGGGCGGGTACTCACTGGGCGGGTACTCACTGGGCGGGTACTCACTGGGCGGGTACTCACTGGGCAGGTACTCACTGGGCAGGTACTCACTGGGCGGGTACTCACTGGGCAGGTACTCACTGGGCAGGTACTCACTGGGCAGGTACTCACTGGGCAGGTACTCACTGGGCAGGTAATCACAGGGCGGGTACTCACTGGGCAGGTACTCACTGGGCGGGTACTCACTGGGCGGGTACTCACTGGGCGGGTACTCACTGGGCAGGTACTCACTGGGCAGGTACTCACTGGGCAGGTACTCACTGGGCGGGTACTCACTGGGCGGGTACTCACTGGGCAGGTACTCACTGGGCAGGTACTCACTGGGCGGGTACTCACTGGGCAGGTACTCACTGGGCAGGTACTCACTGGGCAGGTAATCACAGGGCGGGTACTCACTGGGCAGGTACTCACTGGGCAGGTACTCACAGGGCGGGTACTCACTGGGCGGATACTCACTGGGCAGGTACTCACAGGGCGGGGTACTCACTGGGCGGATACTCACTGGGCAGGTACTCACTGGGAAGGTACTCACTGGGCAGGTACTCACTGGGCGGGTACTCACTGGGCAGGTACTCACTGGGCGGGTACTCACTGGGCAGGTACTCACTGGGCGGGTACTCACTGGGCGGGTACTCACTGGGCGGGTACTCACTGGGCGGGTACTCACTGGGTAGGTACTCACTGGGCGGGTACTCACTGGGCGGGTACTCACTGGGCAGGTACTTGAAGGCCTGAGCGCTGCTGCGTTTCCTCTTCCCGTTGGACACGTACAGACTGACGGTGACCGGACGAGCCACAGAGAGGTCCGAGTAGGACGGGACCCGGGCACACAGCAGGGCCTGGGGACGGGAGAGGTCCAGGGTTATCAAAGGGACAGGAGGAGGTCCAGGGTTATCAAAGGGACGGGAGGGGACAGTAGAAGGTCCAGGGTTATCAAAGGGACAGGAGAAGGTCCAGGGTTATCAAAGGGACAGGAGGAGTTAGAGGGTTATCAAAGGGACAGGAGGAGGTCCAGGGTTATCAAAGGGACAGGAGGAGTTACAGGGTTATCAAAGGGACAGGAGGAGGTCCAGGGTTATCAAAGGGACAGGAGAAGGTCCAGGGTTATCAAAGGGACAGGAGAAGCTCCAGGGTTATCAAAGGGACAGGAGGAGGTCCAGGGTTATCAAAGGGACGGGAGGGGACAGTAGAAGGTCCAGGGTTATCAAAGGGACAGGAGAAGGTCCAGGGTTATCAAAGGGACAGGAGGAGATCCAGGGTTATCAAAGGGACAGGAGGAGTTAGAGGGTTATCAAAGGGACAGGAGGAGGTCCAGGGTTATCAAAGGGACAGGAGGAGTTACAGGGTTATCAAAGGGACAGGAGGAGTTACAGGGTTATCAAAGGGACAGGAGAAGGTCCAGGGTTATCAAAGAGACAGGAGAAGGTCCAGGGTTATCAAAGGGACAGGAGGAGGTCCAGGGTTATCAAAGGGACAGGAGGAGGTCCAGGGTTATCAAAGGGACGGGAGGGGACAGTAGAAGGTCCAGGGTTATCAAAGGGACAGGAGAAGGTCCAGGGTTATCAAAGGGACAGGAGGAGGTCCAGGGTTATCAAAGGGACAGGAGAAGCTCCAGGGTTATCAAAGGGACAGGAGGAGGTCCAGGGTTATCAAAGGGACAGGAGGAGGTCCAGGGTTATCAAAGGGACAGGAGGAGGTCCAGGGTTATCAAAGGGACGGGAGGGGACAGTAGAAGGTCCAGGGTTATCAAAGGGACAGGAGAAGGTCCAGGGTTATCAAAGGGACAGGAGGAGGTCCAGGGTTATCAAAGGGACAGGAGGAGGTCCAGGGTTATCAAAGGGACAGGAGAAGGTCCAGGGTTATCAAAGGGACAGGAGGAGGTCCAGGGTTATCAAAGGGACAGGAGGAGGTCCAGGGTTATCAAAGGGACAGGAGGAGGTCCAGGGTTATCAAAGGGACAGGAGGGGTCACCAGGGAGCAGGAAGGTGTACATCCCTTTCTGAAAACCTTAGAAAACCAAAATCTTAGTCTGGTGACTCATAGCGATGCGACTAATATGTGTATTTTTACTGTGGTAGAGTCGGACTGTTGTCAGAGCAGAGTTTATGGACTTATGATGGAAGCTAACGGTGAATGAGTGATAGAAGCTAACAGTGAATGAGCCATGGAAGCTAACGGTTAATGAGCCATGGAAGCTAACGGTTAAAGCTGTAAAAACCTCATCCTTGTGTCCAGTTAAAACAGTAGTCTCTCTGCTACATTAAACATGAAAACCTGCGGCCTATATTACAGTGTGGCCTATTTGTGGACAACAGTGATTTTCTTTTGAAATGAAGGTGGTGAGGCTTATACACAGGTGAGCTTTATACTCCAGAAACTACTCTACTTCACTCAAGTTCAGTGTAGTTTGGTTCTAAAGCGTTTGTGTTGGGACGGTGGTGATTGTGATGTCACACCTCACTGCTGTTGTCTCTGTCCACGTGGGCCTCCTCCTCCCAGTGCACTTTCCCATCTGCACAACAACACACCCACAACTTCAGCAAAAGACACATATTTTGTGTTTTAAGCAAGTTACAATAGAATCAGAAGTTAGATCAGAGGATTTGTGTCTCCTGCTGGTTCAAAGTTATCACCACAATCTATACATGACGTGTTAGTGACATGTGGGACTCTGAGGAGCACAGGGACTGGCCTCCTGCTGGGACTCTGAGGAGCACAGGGACTGGCCTCCTGCTGGGACTCTGAGGAGCACAGGGACTGGTCTCCTGCTGGGACTCTGAGGAGCACAGGGACTGGTCTCCTGCTGGGACTCTGAGGAGCACAGGGACTGGCCTCCTGCTGGGACTCTGAGGAGCACAGGGACTGGGTCTGACCTGTGCCTCGCTCCATGAACACGACTCTGGAGATGGGCAGGAAGTTGGTCCCTCTCAGCAGCAGCTCGTCTCCTCCTTCTGCAGAACTGGAGCTGAAACTCAGAGACTCCAGCACCGGCAGCTCCTGGGCCGAGCGCTGGGCTGGGGAGAGGAAAACACAGCCACAGGTCACAGGAAGTGTGTTCTCATCTGATTATATTTACATCCATAGTCTTTCAACATATAGTTCTTATATTTCACTGCTGAAGGAAAGTGAGAACAGTTTGCTATTCAAAAATACTTTTAACTTGAAGGGAAAGTGTCTTGCCTAAGGA